CTTCCTTCCTTCCTTCCTTCCTTCCTTCCTTCCTTCCTTCCTTCCTTCCTTCCTTCCTTCCTTTCTCTCTCTTTCTTTCTTCGCTCTCTCTTTCTTTCTTTTTTGTTATTAAGAAATTGTCCATTCATTTTACATACCAACCACAGATTGCCCTTTCCTCCCACCTCCCGCTCCCCAGCCTTCCTCCACAACCCACCCCTCATCCCCACCTCCTCCAAGGCAAGGTCTCCCATGGGGAGTCAGCAGAGGTACATTCAGTTGAGGCAGGTCCAAGCCCCTCCCCCTGCATCAAGGCTGTCTACACTTTTCTAGCACAGAACTTGGTGATTACATTGGTGTAGCCACCTTCTGTTTTATGATAGAATTCTAACCAGTCTACTTATCTACCTGAGATAGCCAAAATACTCTGCCTTAAAACCAAAGCTATATGCTGAGAGTTAATGTCCTATTATTTCCCATATACTAAAGAAAGATATAAATTCTCTTAGGACAATATATACACAGTCCTGAAATCTCAGCATGAGTAGATACCCAATCTGTCTTTGGTATATCTGCTTAGGACAAGATCTATTTTCAGTGAAAAGCCCCTACATTTTCATTTAGTTAAATCACTGCCCCTCACTACTATAAATTGCGCAAAGAATGGCTATTGCAATCGTCAAAAAGTAAATTACAGTATTTAGCACCAAAACTATTTGCTAAGTTATATGAACCTTAAAACAAGAAGTTCCTTTTAGTCACATAGTCTCAAGATAGCACAATTCTGTCTTTGTTTTTAATGGTTTTTAAATAAACATTTTAATTGGTCAGCGGAAGAAGTGTGATTCTCAGGTAAGTAGAGAACTTGCTAAGTCTGTAGTCTAGTGTACACAGGACCACGCGTATTAGATCAGTTTTAGATATTACATGTTATGTTTTGTTTCTAGGCTCTTTTTAAAAAAAACCTACTCCTCCTTCTTACCATAATTGCTTTTTAGGAATAAAGGCTTCCCCCCTCCCCTTTTCATTATGTCGTAACAAAAGGCTGGGCGAGGCTGCCCATTGCTAACTACTCCAATCAGTGAGGGTGAACTCACAGAATGTGCTTTGTTACCTGAGGACAGAATCCGATAGCCGTCTCCTCTGGGAAGCAGTCTTATGCCATTTTTGGTCCAGTGAATCGAGGGAACCGGAAGTCCGGAAGCAGTGCAGGTCATGACAGCCGGGGCCTCTCTGGTTACCAGGAAATCCGTAGGCTCGTCAGCTATGGCAGGAGGAACTAAAACAGCAAGAAGAGAAAACCACACATCTCCACTCCACCGTTTACACATTCCTGAAGCCGCTCTGTCCCTCTTCTTCCCGATGCTCACAGAGTGGGGGTCAGGTAGGTGTAAAAAGGCTGTCTGGTGAAAAGACAGCAGGATCTGTCATTCAATCTACTTTCCAGCCAGTTCTACCTTGGACAGTGAGGTCCACGGTTCTCTTGTCCTCTCCAGCATCACTGGTCACAGTGCACTCATAACTGGCAGTGTCATCCACGGAGGGGGAAATAATGACGAGGGAACCCGAAGAAAGGAGCCTAGAAGAGAGATTCCAGACGTGAGATTCTACACATCAGCATCCATGTGTTCTGCAGACGGTATAGTGAGGCGCCGAGATTAGCTGAGGGAAAGAGTGCCTCCTTCATGTTAAATGGTCACCGTTTGCCTGATGCAAATTTTGCACATCAAAACTTAACTTTATATGGTAAAGGGTCTAAACTTTATGTTAGTGAAAAACAGCTGCCTAAACGCTGAATCTTGCATTTTCTGAATACATGTATCATAATCACCCCTGCTTCTCCTAGTGGACAAAATCTATTGACAGTCACTGTTTAATAGCATAGAATGTGTCCCTGGATCCATCTGAAAGGCTTCACATAAAGCATCTTAAAATCTATCAGTAACTTTGCTGGTAGATATTTGGTTACTTATATGACATATAAGTAAGTAGAAGTCTATTGTTTCAGTTTTTTCCCTGCTTTACACACCTCTTCATATGTCATGCTACTTTGGAGATGTACCGTGTGTGTGTGTGTGTGTGTGTGTGTGTGTGTGTGTGTGTGTGTGTGTGTTGTATATGACATATATGCTATATATATATATGTACATGTATATGTATATACAAGTGGTATATGCACATAGCATATATGTAATGCATATATTTAACATGTGTAATATATGTATCTCTGTGAATCTTTTGGTGATCATTCCTTAATTTATAATAAAAAATAAAAATGAATGTTTGGGAGGCTTAGAATAATTCACACACATCAGACTTAATGTAGATTTAAGTTAAAATATCAGTTTTCTTCAAACTGTGCCATACTGGAATAGAAATAGTATGGAGTGGGGCAGGGGAGATCGCTCAATGGTTAAATCACTTGCTTCCCAGATGTGAGGACCAGAGGTCAGATCCACAGTAATCCACATAAACTTCCAAGTGGACACAGTGGCTCACCTATAATTCCAAGACTTGGAAGGCAGAGGCAGGGATCCCAGAGTAAGCTGTTTAGCGAGAATAGACAGGGACCCCAGAATGAGCTGTATAGCAAGGATAGATGAGGATCCCAGAATAAGCTGGCTACCAAGAATATATGGGGATCCCAGAGTAAGTTAGCTAGCAAGAATAGACAGGGATCCCAGAGTAAGCTGGCTAGCAAAAATAGTTATAGGTAAATGTGTTTGGTTGTGAGATCCTGAGACAGTAAATAATCTTATTAACTGAGGAGAATTCCTGACATCAGCTCAGGCTTCCATCTGCATACCTGGGACCCCCCATGTACCCATATATATGTAAATACAGTATATATGTGTATACATGCACACTTGAAAATGGAGAAAGGAAAAGGAAGCGGGTTTGGTTTAATGGAAGTGCATTTTTCATGCTTCCTAGGCATTTTCCACACAAGGTAGACTTTTAAACCACTGAGCCTAATGCCAAAAGCTAAAAGGACGAGAAAGACAGAGCTGACCAATGTTCAGTGGAACTATTCTTTGTTTCCTATATCCTTGTCAATCACAATTACTTCTTGTCGAAGCATCACTGTGACCGCACCTGGTGTTAACATTCTGGCAGATCCTTTGGGGGGATAACTGTTAGCTGAACTGAGGTAAGGGATGTTGCTGCCTTAAACCATCAGAAATTCCCAGTGACTTAAAGTCTAGTCCTTAATAAACACACACTGCCATATTGTAAACTCTGGCGGGAAAGTTTGAAGAGTGTAAGAACTGGAGAAGATGCTCTTTGCTAACCACCTATCCAAGCAGCCAAACGTCTACAGTATATTTCAAGGCATTCAACTTGCTTTTCATTTTACAACTAAACCTTGGAGTGACTTTCACAGAACAGTTTGTCTTTTATGCAAAAGACGTTTATAGCCATTGCCATTATAAAACTGTAGAGAGTACAAAACAAGCAAGTGTGTAGGGTCAACACACCTACAGATCCCACCAACAGCCACACAGGACTTGTGCACAGAAGAGTTGCACCTTTTATTTAAAAAAAAAAAGATAGGTTGGAAATCCAATTCCATATTAAGGGAAAAATATTCTACCAACTGGCTAATTCTTCATTCTTTATGTATTTCTTACCCTTATTGATGAGGTTAAAATGTTGGTTATTAAAAATAAATGTTTCTAAATGTTAGGTTGGATTTTTCAATGGAGTTATCTTTACTGCATTATGCTAAGTGAAAGTAGCCAGACACAGAAAAGGTTCAGAAAAGGTTCTGTTTGTTCTCATTATGTATTGAAGATAAAAAGTTGAGGGCAGGCAGTGGCAGTGGCAGTTGTGGCACACGCCTTTAATCCCAGCACTCGGGAGGCAGAGGCAGGTGGATCTCTGTGAGTTTGAGTTCGGGGCCAGCCTGGTCTACCTACACAGCTAGTTCTAGGACAGCCAAGGCTACACAGAGAAACCTTGTCTCGGAAAAAAAAGCAAACAAAAGAGCTGGGCTAACAGAAGGATGTGGCGGAGGGGGATGCAATGAAGGTGGTACAGGAGTGTGGTGCACAGAGGAATGTGTCTGATGGTAATTATTCAAGCATTTCAAAATGGCTGTTAGAAAGGACTTTTAATGTTCTCAACACAGAGAAGTATGCATGTACGGCGTGACAGATCTGCCATATCCTAATCTAATCATTATGTATCATATAAATGTATTGAATTATCATATAGTACCAATAACTACGTACAATTGTGCCACCTGGAAATAAAAAAACATATTTAAAATAAGTGAATTCATCTTACCTGTATGAATTTTGATTTTGATCCACATTAAGAAGATGCCCATTTTTTCTCCAGTTGATTGATGGTTTTGGTATCCCAGTAGCTTCACAAGCCAGAGTAGTTTGGACATTCACTGTTACTGTTACATTGGTAGGACCAGGAGCTATAGATGGAGGAACTAAAAAACAATAATAAGAGTGAAGCATACCCAGCACATGGCAAAGCATTTCTGATGACCTGAAATTTGTCATTGGTGACTTGCTATATGACTAAGCCACGGCAGTGTCACAAACTGCACAGCGGTGATATAACCCACACTAAAGAAACAGCATGGGTCTTGTCTTGTTCACAATGCAGAGGAATATGCTTACTTAGCCTTTAAGGTCCAGGTCCTCATGAGCTGACCTAGTTTCAGTTACAATAAACAAACAGAAAACAAAACAAAAACGTTTGACCCAAAGCCTGGATTTTTTTTGTAAATGTGTATTTACCATGGACTTGTAAATCTATTCGCCGACGGTCTGTTCCAGCCACATTGGTCGCCATACACAAATACCGTCCGGTGTCTGTGACATGTGCTGACTGAATTTGAAGGAATCCATTTTCTAAGATGGAGTATCTATGAGAAAGATTAAAGGCACATCCTTCTTAATCAACTCTTTTCAATTATTTACACTATGACTCAGATAAACATTAAAGATTTGGTAAAATCTACTGTGAGTCTTCTTCTGTTTCAGGTGACACAAATTTACAGTGCCCTTGGAGGAGGGACAGGATGCAGTGTGAAGGTGTGTAGCAGCAGGCCTGTGGTCTTGATGGATTATAATCAAAGGAATTATTCTTATAAAATACTAAATTTTGATTCTCATCTTAGGATGAAAATATAAATTCTAAATATAATAAGACCAAAATAATGCATTAGAAAAAATATTTGAAGATTCACATTTCAATTTCTCATGACAGCATTTTTCTTCCCTTTTTAGAACTGTTACCTTGCATGGCTTCCGGCTAGCACAGCCCCATCCTTTCTCCATGTTATCCTTGGGGTTGGCACACCTTCAGCAAAGCATTCCAGTACAATTGATGTATTTAAGAGAGTGACAAGACTCTGGGGACCACCACTGATGCTTGGAGGAACTGAACAAAAAACAAAACAAAACAAAAAAAACCCAGAAATCTAGTTAAAATAAATAACTCAGCCTTCGCTAAGAATCTGGAGATGTAAGGAGAACTTTAAGTGAAGTGATTAGCTTTGTCTACACTAATCTAGGTTAGAATAAATAGAATTAAAGTCTAACTCTTGAAGTCTTTCTCAAGACATCCTGCATTTGAAAATAAAGAATAAATGGGGAGAATTTAAATCCCTGACTTAAATCCCTGTGGGAGAGTCGTGAGTAAAATCCAGCTTTGGTCTGATGCAAATTAAAGTTGATATTTCTTATTTCTCTCTAGCCAAATAATGGTCAAAGAATGTTAATGCTGGAACAGCTTCCCTTTAAATAAAGAACAGAAAGTGGGCTGTTTTAATGAAAAGCACATCTGTGGTTAATCATGCGAGTCCCAGAACAGGCATTTTATTAATCATAGAGTTCATGTGGGAATACAAAGCCTGAACTTTAATTTTAGTATTAGAGATATTAGTTGTGTGGGTCATCCAGTATGTTGTAAAATTTCTTGTGTTAAAATCCAAAGGGATTGTTATGGAGGGAAATCTACATATCTTCCTAAATATTGGCAAGTGTTGGCACCTAGATACGCATATTTAAGAAAATTACAGTAGTATGACAGTGTTTAAGGAAACTGTAACACTGTGCATATGTACAGTATGCTATCAAGCCACCACCAATAAAGGCAAACTAAGTGATGGACCATTTGTCAGATACAGATGTAGTGTGATGGTTTCCTCTCAGCTGGATGGTGCCGACCATCTGGATCTGCTAATCATTCTGTGTGTGCCTGTGTTTGTATGCATGTGGTGTGTGTGTGTGTGTGTGTGTGTGTGTGTGTGTGTGTGTGTGTGTGTGTGTGTACCTGTGTGAGTGTGCCTGTGTATGTGTGTGTGCTCTTTCCAAGTAAATAGCATGTCCAAGGATTCATTTAATAAGCTCCAGAAAAACATATCTTC